CCTACAGCATCACCAGAGCTCCGTTGTAGAAGGGCAGTTTTCTAGCAATGACAATCAAGTGTCTTGATGAGGGGGTTCCCTTTTTCTAATTTGTAAGTTGTGTTATTTGCGCTCTCAGCAGCCCTGGCATGGTGGCAGTCACATCTGATATGGGAAGGGGACAGAGGGCAGCTGTGATGGACTGTTCAGGAGCCCAGAAGATCAACTTTGAGGGCTGCTCCTGTTCTGTCTGCTTCCTCACACACTTTTGCTCAGGTCAATTCCAAAGCCTCCTGAGAACCTATTGAATCCCAGTCAGGACTTAGGGTAGAAACAGAGGTTTGGGGTCAGAAGAGGAAACAGCAGAAAATGGAAAACTCCACTGCCTATTGAGGGGACAGGAGCAGAAGCCCCAGTGTGCAGATGAAGAGCATGGGCTCTGGAGTCAGCCAGACTGAAGTCAAATCTGGGCTCCGTTTCTGACTGGCTGGTTGATAGGCAAGGAGTTTCTTAACTTCTCTGAGATTCAGTTTCCTCATCTGTAAATGCGGGGAAAGGAAGAGAAAAAAGTCACACTTTCCCATAAGATTGTTGTGAAGATTAAATGGGAGAAAGCATGTAGAGGGTTTGGCATGGTGCCAGGCACCATCAGGGCTCTATAAAACTCAGCAACCGTCATTGTTCCTGGGAGTCAAGCCAGCAGGCAGAGATGTGGACTGGCAGTTCAGAAGCAAGGGCTGAGGTTGTGGAAATCACAGATCTAGAGCTCAGAGGCCCTCTGCAGTCTGGGTTGCAGCCCAAAGAGGCTGAACAGCTGAGGGAAAATGGGCCTCATTCTCACAGAGGCCCATCCAGGCATACCCCTCTCCATCGTGAACTCTAAACGGAAGGCTTCTGAGAGAAATCACTGGCCATGGGCCCTAAGGGTGTCTGTACTTTTGTCCTGGCTGAAATGCAAGGCTCTGACTGCTCTTTACCCAGACCATTTCTTAAGGCAAGCAACCTTGAGAGATGAGGTAATGTCTCCCTCTGGACAGAAAGTGGGCTTTTTTCCCAAGGACTGTAAAACTGGTGACTTCCCAAGCTCTGATGCAAATCCACAGGGTAAGTAACAACTACCTGGACCCTTGTGCATTGCCCTGTAAAACTTAGGGTCATGGGGAACTGATGCCAACAGGACAAATGTAGTGTTTGCTGCGCAGTGGATAGTGGAAACCTTTGTTTCTAAAAACCCTATGGAGCACGGCTCTACTCTGAAACACGTGGAGTTGCCATGAGTTGGCATCAACTCGAGAGTAACTGGTTCAATTGTTTGGTCCTAGGCCTTATATTTTCTACTAGCATTCATAAAACAGCATCAAGTGACTTTATTAGCTTATGTCAAAATCCTAAATTGCTTAGAACAACACCAAAAGTTTGTGTAACCAAATATCTTTATTGTGAGTAGATACGATTCAAATGGGGCAGCATCACTCAAACATGCTAGGAAGGTGCTGACAGGAGGACAGTACAATCATAGATGAGGGTAAGTCAAAAAGTATTGCTATAAAATAATAGAAACCATTATTAGACAAAAATATCAACATGTGAAACTACTGTTTCTTGACATCGTCTCCATCTAGGCTTATACCCTTCTGAAGGTGGTGTTTCCATCTCTCTAACTCTGCCCCAAAGTTTTCTGCACTCTTCAATTTATACTATGTCAAAATGGCAATTGAGGCATCCTTACCAGCTGCTCCTTGGAAGCCCTATACAAGGTTGCTATGGGTCGGAATCGACTCGACGGCACTTAACAACAACAGGGAACTCAAATCATGTTCTATTTCAGGGTTCTTTGAATTTGGGGACCAAAAAGAAGTCTGAATGGAAAGATCAGGACTGTAGAGTGGATGGGGTAAGGCTTCTAAACAGCATTCTTTTAGGACAGTCTTTGTTACCTTTGAAGAATGAGCAAGTGCATTGTCTTAATGGGAAAAAATTCCTTGCCCTTTTTCTCACCAACACAGTTTTAAATGTTTAAAAAAACTTCTTCTTAAAAAGAGCATGAGTGTAGCCATTTTGAGAACTTAACTGTACTGTTGTTGTTGTTAAGTGCCACTGTGCTGATTCTGACTCATAGCAACCCTGTATAGGATTCCAAAGGAGTGGCTGGTGGGCTTGAACTTGTGGTTAGCAGTCCAGTGCTGATCCTGCAGTGACACACCAAGACTCCTAACTATATAAGATAAAACAAAATAATCAACCACTGCCCAAGGCAGTGTCCTTGTCCCTTTCCTGTCCTTGTTTCTTAGATCCGTGATTTTCAAATGTTAATGGTCATCTGACAAAGTTGTATTGTCTGCATATCAAAGGTTGTAGATGCGGCTTCCTTCAAACTTGATGCCTACTTGTTCTTCTTGTGGTACAGTTTCTTGGATTGTTTGTTCAGCGTACAGATTAAATAAGTGCAAGGGGGCTTCAAAAAGTTCCTGGAAAATGGAATGAAAACATAACAGAATTATTCCAGGAACTTTTTGAAGACCCCTTGCATGTGTGAAAGGACACGCATCTTTCTTGATTTGAAACCACACAATATTCCCCTTGTTCTGTTTAAACGACTGCCTTTAGATACAGTTTACACCTGAGCACAATTAAGTGTTCTGGAATCCCCATTCTTCCCAGAGTTATCTGTAATTTGTTATATCCATTTAGTCGAGTGCCTTTGGATAATCGGTAAAGCACAGGTTCTCCTAGAAGATTAGCAACCCCTCAGGTGGCCTTGAAGATAATAGAAATCTAACAATATTGTCTTGAAAACATGAATGCAATGAATTGTCTTCATTTTGTTATGTTATGTTTTTTCTGGCTTCTTGCAATCTCTTTAATAGGTTGCTTATGAAACACATCACATTCTGGTTTAATGCTTATTCTGTAATAAAACTTGTCTTTAGCTTTTTCTTTCTTTCTTTTTTTTTTTTAGTTTTTGCTTTTATATAAAAGGTTTTCTAGATTGGCAGTAGATTTTGTTTTTAGCAACTTTCCCACAACACTATCAAACACAATGGAACACTGGACTGCTAACTGCATACAGTGGTTTGGTTCAAACCCACTAGCTGCTCCCTGGAAACCTTAGACAAGTCGGAATCAACCTGACAGTGCTTAACAACACTTAAGCACACCCCAGGGTGAGAAAAACAGAGCTTGTTAAAATTTATCAAGACATCTTTCTCTTCCTTTACTTTCTGACCACACATGGACCAGGACAGCCTGGACATGTTGTCAGTGCTGCTTTTAGGTGCTTGTTGTTAGATACAGTCAAATTGTTTTTGATTCCTAGTGACCTCATGCGACAGAATAGAACTGCCCCACCAAATTTCCCAGGCTATAGGAAGCAGGTAGCGTAGTGGTTACAAATCAGGCTATGAGCCTCAAGGTCAGCAGTTCGAAACTACCAGCTGTTCCATGGGAGAAAAATGAGGCATTCTGTTCCCGTAAAGATTTACAGCCTTGGAAACCCTATACAGGGTCGCTATGAGTCGGAACCGACTCCACAGCATATCACAACAACAATAGGAAGCAGATCAGCAGGCCTTTCTCCTGAGTAGCTGCTGGGTGGGTTTAGAGTGCTGACAGTTTGGTTAGCCATCAAGTGCTTAATTGTGGAGACACCAGGGTTCTTTAATTCTAGCCATGTTGTTGTTGTTGTTAATGTGTCGTGGAGTTGGTTCCAACTCATAGCGACACTGTACAGGGTTTCTGAGGCTGTAAATATTTACAGGAGCAGAAAGCCTCATCTTTCTCCAGTTGAACAGCCAGTAGTTTCGAACTGCTGACCTTGAGGTTTGCAGCCCGATTCGTAACCACTATGCTACCAGAGCTCCCATACTGCTTGCTAAATCCTAACGAGGTTTCATGGATTGGATTGTGTCTCCTCAAAATATGTGCCAATTTGGTTGGGCCATGATTCTCAGTGGATTGGCAGTTACATTTGTTGTTATTGTTGGTAAGTGCCGTTGAGTCAATTCTGACTCATAGTGACCCTGTTTAGAGTTTTCAAGGAGCAACTGGTAAGTTTGAACCGCCAAACCTTGTGGTTTGCAGTCCAGTGCTTATTCTACAGCACCACACCAGGAGTCCATGTAATGATATAATGTGGTAGTCCTCCATGATAAACAAATAAGAGGATTAATGGTGGGAAACATCACCCTGACCCCATCATGACCCCGATCCTATGTAAGAGACAGAAACAAGCAGAGAAGGGTTACCTAGTACCAAAAAAAAAAAAAAAAAAAAAAAGGAAGAGCTAGAAGTGCAGTGTGTCCTTTGGGCCTGGGGTTACTGACTGTGAAAGTCGTGTTGTTGTTGTTAAGTACCATTGAGTCAGTTCCGACTCATAACATCTCTATGCACAACAGAGTGAAACACTGCCTGGTTCTGCCCCATCCTCACAGAAGTTATGTTTGAATCCATTGTTACTGCCACTGAATCAATCAGTCTTGTTGGAGGTCTTCCCAGTGTGTCTTTCTCCAGGCCTGGTCTCTCCTGACAACATGTCCTAAGTATGACAAGAGATCAAATCATGCCATCCTTGTTTCTAAGGGGTATTCTGGCTGCACTTCTTCCAACACAGATTTGTTTGTTTTTCTGGCAGTTCATGGTATTTTCAATATTCTTTGCCAACGTATTTCAAATGCATGGATTTTTGTATGGTCTTCCTTATTCGTTGTCCAACTTTTGCATGCATATGAGGTGATTGGAAATACCATGGCTTGGTTTAGGTGCACTTAGTCCTCAAAAGGAGCTCTGGTAGCATAGTGGTTACGAATCGGGCTGCGAACCTTAAGGTCAGCGGTTCAAAACTACCAGCCGCTCTGCGGGAGAAAGATGAGGCTTTCTACTCCCGTAAGGATTTACACCCTCGGAAACCCTGTACAGGGTCGCTATGGGTCAGAACCGACTCAACGGCACTTAACAACAACAGTCCTCAAAGTGACTTTTTTACCCCTTTTTTTTTTTTTTTTTTTTAAAGATTTTAGGGTTTATTAATCCTCTGGTGAAAAATCCACAGTCACTGCAGAATATTTATTCCTTCTTTTTGCCAGCACCAACATTGGCCTTTGCAGTCCCCCTACTTTTTTCATTCTGTTTTTGCGTTCCTTGTGCTGTTTTCTTGAGGTTTTCTTCTTCTTATACAGGCCATGTCTTGCAAGTCTGTGTTTGGGTTCATTTTTCTTTGCATAATCCAAGGAATCGTAAATCATGCCGAAGCCAGTAGTCTTGCCACCACCAAAATGGGTTCTGAATCCAAACACAAATATGACATCTGGTGTTGTCTTACACACTTTGGCAAGTTTTCCCCAAATTTCTGTCTTAGGTACTGTTGCCTTCCTGGGGTGAAGGACATCAATGACCATATGTTTCTGCTGAAGTAGTCGGTTGGTCATGAATTTCCTTGTCCAGATAGTTACTGTGCCATTCATGATGGCGGCAGATGCTCAGGCAGCTGGGGAGGAAAAAGCTCTTTAACACTTTAAAGAAGTCTTCTGTGGCAGATTTTCCTAATGCAATACATCACTTGATTTTTTTTTTTTTTCCTTTTCTTTTGTTTTTATAAATTTTTATTGTGAATTATGTGATAGTTTACATAGGGAAATATTAGCTTTACCTTCATCCTATCATATTTTGTTTCATTGCAATGATTACAATCCCCTCCATGCATCATCAAACAACACAAGCCTGCCCCCCGGCCGTCAGCACAGAACCCCTCTTCCTCCCTGAGTCCAGAGTCCCCAGCCACTTCATTTCTCCACATCATCGTCTCGCCTCCATCTCTGGCATCACTGCTTCTCTGGATAGGGTCGCACTCTGCTCTTCTCCCTTGATGGTACCAGGGACCTCCGCTCCTGGACTGCAAAATCAACCACTCTCCTCCTTTTGTTACAAAACGTCTACCTTTACATTTCCAAACCTCGCAGTCAGTCCTGATTACAATTATTCACTATTGTACCACAAATCGCTTAATTTCTTGACGGCTACTTCCTTTAGTGTTGATTGTGCAAAATGAAGTCTTTGACAACTTCAATTTTTTCTCCTTTCATCAAGATGTTGTTGGTCCAGTTATGAGGATGTTTGTTTTCTTTACATTGAGGTGCAATCCTTAATGAAGGCCGTAGTTTTTGATCTTCATGAGTAAGTATTTTAAGTGTTCTTCATTTCCAACGAGCAAGGTAGTATCCTCTGCATATCACAGATTGTTAATGTGTCTTCCTCCAATCCTGATGCCACGTTTTTCTCTATATAATCCAGCTTCTTGGATTATTTGCCCAGAATGCAGATTGGATCAGCTGCTAAAAGGATAAATCATGGTGCACACCATTCCTGATTTAACCATTCAGTATCCCTTTGATATATTCTCAGTCTATGTACATGCCCTAATGAGCAAAATTAAGTGTTTTGGAATACCCATTCTTCGCAATGTTATCCATAATTTGTTAGGACCCACACAATAGAATTCCTTTGTATAGTTAATAAAGCACAGGTAAACATCTTTCTGATATTTTTTGCTTTTAGCCAAGATCCATCTAACATCAGCAATGATATTCCTAGCTCCACATTATCTTCTGAATCCTGCTTTTATTTCTAGCAGCTCCCTGTTAATGTACTGTTACAACCACTTCAGCAAAGCTTTACTTGCATGTGATAATACTGATATTGCTTGATGATATCCACATTCTGTAGGATTTCCTGTCCTTGGAATGGGCACAAATATGATCTCTTCCAATCAGATAGCCAGGTAGTTGTCTTCCAAAATTTCTTGCCATAGTCCAGTGAGTGCTTCCAGTGTTGCATCAGTTTGTTGAAAGATTTCAATTTGTAATCTGTCAGTTCCTGGAACCTTGTTTTTCACCAATGCCTTCAGTGAAGCTTGTATTTCTTCCTTCAATACCATTGGTTCTTGAACGTATGATTCTTTTTGAAATGGTTGAACATCCTTAATTCCTTTTTGGGGCTCTGTGTATTCCTTCCATTGTCTTTTGATGCTTTCTGCATCATTCAATATTTTGCCCATAGAATCCTTCAATATTGCAAATTAATGCTTGAGTTTTATTTTTCTTCCCCTCATTTCTTTCAGTTTGAGAAATACTGAGCATGCTCTTCCCTTTTGGCTTCCTAACTTCCGGTCTTTACACATTTCATTGTAATACTTTACTTTGTCTTCTGGTGCTGCCCTTTGCCATTTTTCGTTGCTTAGCTTCTCTGTGCTCTAGAAAAAGTTTCAGAGTCTCTTCTGGTACCCATTTTGATTTTTTCCCCTGCATTTTGAATAACCTTTTACTTTCTTCATATATGATGCTCTTGATGTCATCCCACAACTCTTTCTATCTTTGGTGATTAGCAACTAATACATCCAATCTGTTCTTGAGATGGTCTTTAAATTAAGGTGAGATTTACTCAAGGTCATATTTTGGCTCTAGTGGATTTATTTTCATCTTTTCAGCTTTATCCTGAACTTGCATATAAGCCATTGATGATCTGTTCTACCATTGACCCTGGGCCTTGTTTTGGCCATTGTCTTCCCACAGATGTAGTCAATTTGATTCCTTTGTAGTCTATCTGGTGAGGCAGATGTAGAAAAAAGTAGAAGCAATATTTTTGACCTACCCTTGTATGTCATCCCACTCCTTTATTGCTGCTCTACTGAGAAGTCATAGGTTAGTCATATTGATTGTTCTTTTTAGGTAACATTCTGCTTTCAACAGACTTCTCTCAGTATTCTTTCTTTTCCTTTGGTTTTAGAAAATTTGATTATGATAGGTCTTACTGATTTTCTTTGGGGTTTGGAGTTCATTGGGATATCTTCTCATCTTTCATGATTTTAAGGAATTTTTCTGTCAACAAATCTACAATTTTCTTTGTGATTTTTTTTTTGTCTCTTCGTTTGTAATTCCAGTCCCATCGAGTTATTCCTTTTAATGGTATCACACATAATTCTTAAGCTTTCTTCAAGCTTTTTTTCTGGATTCTTTCTTAACAGATTAGTAGTAACGGTTTTGTCTTCAATTTTTCTGACTCTATCTTACATTGCTTCAGGTTTACTTCTTTGCTCTTCTAATGTGTTATCTATTTCTGAAATTTTAGTGTTAATCTTCTAGATTTCTAGTTGTTGTTTTGTAAGTTTTCTAATTTAATCAATTTGTTCTTGTAATGTTTTCCCGAATTCTGCTAGGATTTTATCTGTGTTTCCTTGATTTTACCTGATTTTCTAGACTTTGTCTTTCTTTGCCATGATCTATTTCTTGATTTGTAGAAGGTTACTATCTATAATTATTTTAAATCACTTATCTAGAAGTTCCAATACCATTTCTTCCTTCAGAAGATTATCTGACCCTGTATTTTGGTCACTTTCTTGAGCCATCATATCCTGTTTGTGTGGACTGAAGTTTTCTGTTATCTCCCAACATTGTGGTGGTGGTATATTTATTGATTGGTTTTATGTTGGTTTGCTACGTCCTGATATTTTGTTTTAATATATTTGGGTAGGGCAGAGGGCAGGGTGTACTACTCTTTTGGTAGTTTAGAAGCATTGGGACACTCACCACCTGTCTTTGGATGGATTTGGTAGCAGGTGGGAGGATGGGCACTAGTCTCCGTTCACTAGTCATGTAAAGCAGCTGAGAGTGGGCTTGGTGGGTGTTGGTTTCCATCTGTCATTCATCCAGTAGTGCTGGAGTGGGTAGTGTCACTTGCCTTGCGGATGGAAGGGTGGGTGTGCTAGGTATGGCTGGGTAGGGTTGCTGCCTCCCAACTGATGGGCAAGGAAAAAGGGGAAGGAAAAGGAGAAAGAAAGAAAAACAAACAACCTGGGCAGCACCAGCGTAAGTATTGCCACCAAACACATCAGAAGCAGGAGCACAGCACTTGATCTATGTGAGGACATGCCACCAACCATGCAGGCAGCAGGATTGTGGCACCATCAACCACAGTGGCTGTAACCATGCATCACACAACCTGTAAAAGTATGCCCTGCAGATGTCTGGGGCAACAGCCAAGCAGTACTTGATTTGTGGGAGCATGCTGTGCTGCAGGTTATTAGCAACATGTTGGGAGGCTGCAGGGCTGGAAAGTGATCCAGGTGAAACACCAGGTCAGGAAGGGGCAGTGGGAACACCTCTGGACAATGGGAGCTTGTACAGGAGGAGGACAGTGTAACTCTCTGGTTGTGGATCTCTGTTGTGGCCAGTTATCTGGCTCCTGTCCTGAGTCAATGCAGACGGTTAGGGCCACCTGGAGCTCAGCATCTCCAGCCACCACCCATAGATCCTCCCCTCTACATCAGTGCCCCACTCGAACTACCAGAGACCACAACTTGGTCCAATTCTTCAGCCTTTCCTTTGATTTTTAAAGTTCAAAATATTTCTTCTATAGCCAATTCTCTGTTGTAAGAGAGACATCACCAGGCATCTGGCTTAACTGTCATCTTAGACTGCCTCCTTCTAACTGATATTTTCTTCCAGAAAGTTTGGGTTTTTTTCCTTAGCAGAAAATTTAACTATTCTTGAGAACTTCAGCCAGATGACTGGGATACAAGACTGAGAGGCTAAGTCTCTTTTCATTAAGGTATTTTCTAGACTTCTTACCTACAAATAGGCTGGAGTAAATCATGACAGAAATACTGTTCCCACAACTAACATGAGCTGAGCTTTAGTAGGAAGGTCAGAGTTTGGAATCTTTTGGAATTTAGGTTCTGATGAAGCTGAGTTCTTCCCTTACAAGAAACTCTAGACTGTTGGCAGGACCACAGAAACTAGAAATTCTTTGCCTCTGAGTGAAAATGTCCAAAAAATTTTACTCTACATAAAATTTATGCCATTCCTTCTGAAGCGTTCTCTAACATGGTAGGAATACAAGATTGCCTTTTGAGAGGTCAACAGCTCCAGTCAATTTGGGAACAGATCTAAAGAAGCAACTGGTTTAGAAAATTGACTTTAGAAAGTCCAATGGCCTGTCAAAAGTCAATCATCAGTGACCTGTTCAATCTCCTTAAAGCAGGAATTACACTATATTTTATCCTAAAATGGCAGGGAACAATGGGAAGAATGAGACCTTAATGAAAATTCTCATGTTTCCCTTGAAAAATTCCAACTTTGGGTTCCTTTTTGCCTGACAGTTTACAATCTCTGCCCAGTATAAGCCACACTTCCATGCTCTGTTCCTGGCTCTTACCTAGAAAAACTTAAATAGCAACAAAACAAATAAACACTTGCCATAGAGTTAAAAAAAAAACAAACTATCATATGATCTCCATTGTTTCTATCAATGCATCTTGATTGTGTGTTTCATCAATTTCAGACTGAAGAAACTGCTAGAATTCTTCAGTTTCATCATCTTTGTCATCGGTGGTTGGTGCATAAATTTAAATAATAATGGCATTAACCTGTCTTCCTTGTTGTTATTAAGTGCCATGGAGTCAGTTCTGACT